CATTCATTGTTTATTGAAAGACACAAAAACATCTCTCAATGGTTTTTTTCTTCTTCTAAAGAATAAGTCAAAGGTGTTATATGATCAATGCTTTGGTCAGGTGGCATTTTGCTATGTTTTATTCTCGATTAAGGTTTGTGACCTTTTAGTCTGCAGTCCTGGAGTAAAACATTACAGGATAGGATTGAGATACTGCTGTGACCTTTGGTGAACAATGAGGAGGGCAAACAGAGAAGCACTGAGAGAAAAATGAGATCTGACTAGGGAACAGTCTTTGAAATCAAAGTTCTGAGTCCTTATGTGAGGATGCTGAAGCTTTCTGACGAATCAAGGTCAACAGACATGCTACATTTGAACCTTAACATATGCTGGCATTTTATAGTCTGTGGGTTCATTTTGCAACTCTAAAATGTTTGTCATATCATAGCTTTCTAGGTATCCAACATCCTGATTGTCCTTTTCTTTCTATCTTTTGTACTGTATATACGTTGGGGAGATGTGGGGCTTGTTATTCTCCACACATGTGTCTTATAACCTGTTTGTATCATTTTATCTTTTTTTACATCGGCGCTTGCAAACCTTGTGTAGTTCGCTGAGAGGGGGCGGTACTCTGAGTAGGGACGTGTCGAGGTGAAGCAGCTCTTCCTAACACTAGCCTATGAAGAGAAGACGAAGGAGACTTTAACAGGTAATTTTCTTAAACCTGCATGAATGAAATTAAGTTGGTCTTGCTGGGAGTGAGGGTGCTGGTAAAACAGGTGAGCATACTGTTTATATTATCCTATATCTACATGCCTGACCTCTATTTAACTTATACATTTCAGTATACTCCAAAATTAAAATGGTTTATACGTCATGAACTCTGGGGCATTTGTGGAGAAACAAAACGCACATGTTCAACTTACAATGTTGAGTGTCATTAGATTGTGTTTGACAGTTTACTTTGAGAAGACATCCAAATTAGTTTCTGTGTTTATAATCATCATGACTAACTTGTTACAGACTAAATACAGCTCATAAGTACTTTGTGGTACTTGACTTATATTAGTATTTTAGTATTTCTTATACATGCTACGTCATCATTTTACTCCACTACCATTTGGAAACAATATTGCCCATTTTACTCCACTATATGTATTTAATACTTTTAGACAGTAGTTACTTTGGAGGTTCATATTATTAAAGGTCCCATGTCATGGCTATTTCTACTGATCATATTTCCATTGTTGAGGTCTACTAGAATAGATTGAAATTGTGCAATTTTCCAAAATCACATCGGTTTCTCATACAGCACCTCTGTATAGTATGTGTATTCACTCTCTGTCCTACACGGCTTGTTGGAGCTCCTGCCCCAGCCCCCTCCCTGTGAGCCCAGTGTGCTCTGATTGGTCGGGACATTGCGAGGCTCGTTGCTGCGAGGAGCGGACAGGTTTCGGGGTCGGCGATACAGCGAGAACAAGCGAAACTCATCCTGAGCACACACAAACACTCACAGCCGAAGTAAAAACAATAAGTGTGGCTTGATATTGAGAAAGAAAAAGGTTTCTAACGCTGTGAGAATGGGTCTGCAGAGAGCATTTCTCCGCGATCCCAACTCGTCTATTACCAGCGTTCAGGTAGCTCTATGCAAGTCAATGGGGACTCCCTGTTAGTTAGCCAAGGGATCCTGGTGTGGGAGGTGCTCCGCGCGGATTGGTCCATTTGGGCCAATCCGGTCATTTGTTGTTGATTTGGGTGCTCACACGTCACAGAACCCAGGAAGCAAACAATGGAAAATGAGAAATCTCCAACGAGGCGTTCTGGGGCAGCATAGACAGGTATTTTCTGTGTCAGAGTTTTACTCGCTACAGGGTGTACTTTGAGGGTTTTTGACTCTGCAGACCGTTTACATGCATAAACACCTTCATAACACACAAGGGGACAGGTAATAACCGGAAAAGCATGACATCAGGGCGACTGTGGCTGCGAGGGAGTGCGGTCGTCTTTCAACCAGAAAGTTGTGGGTTCGATCCCAGCCCATGCAGTCAACATGTCGATGTATCCTTGGGCAAGATACTTAACCCTGAGTTGCTCCCGATGGCATGGCCAACGGTGTGTGAATGTGTGTGAATGTTAGGTCCTATAGAGTAAGGTACACTGCTCCGTATGAATGGGTGAATGACATGTAGTATGTAAAGCGCTTTGAGGGGTCTTAAAGACTGGATAAAGCGCTATATAAGTACAGTCCATTTACCATTTACATCGGCCCTTTAAATCAGTGATTTGCATATTTTACCATCACACAATGTTTACCTGAGAACTGTTATATAATGACAGTTTGCAAAGGCGTATGCAATTTCAAACATCTTCACTTTTGGTCTAAAAGAGTTGGCTTGTTTGTGTTTGCCCCCTATGAGCAATCATGCACACATTAATTAGTCAGTGTCCCATAGTTTGACTAAACTGGCACCATACTGTTTAGTTGTGGCTATTGTCTTCAGTACTATACAACATTTATCAGTTTATGTTTTGGTTTAAAATCATACCCTGTCACTGAGAGCACATTTTAAAGATTTGGTTGCCGTTATTGCTACAGAAGACTGTACACAAATGGTTTTCTTTACCTCTCTGTTTTTACTTGTATTGACTCCAGACTGAGTGTCATATAAAAGGATCTTTGTGACTTGGCTGCATACTATCAAGCCTCTAATTAACTGTCTCTTTTGGCACACTGCTTGGTCATTTTGCCAAATGTTTGACCATTTCTCTCATAGCTTTCGAAGTTTATTTTCATTTTGGATTGTATAAGTGGAAACTAACAGCACCTTCAATAACAAACATGGTAATTATCGAAGGTGCTCTTTTCATGTAAATTAAAAAGGGATCAAATATAGACAAATAATTGCATTTTACTAAATGTTTGCAAGATGGCAAAAGTGGACGAACACTAGCAGCTAAATAGACTAACTGTTCGCAGAGAGGTATACAATTTCAAACATCTTCACTTCTGGTCTGAATTAATTGGCTTTTTGCCCCCTATGAGCAATCATGCACACAGTAATTACAACAATCATTGTTCCATGGTTCGACTAACCTGGCACCATGTTGTGTGCATTGCCTCTAATAAGAAATATGTTTTATTTACTGTGTTGAACTCTCCATTTGTGTTTGAATATTTATCGATAAGCATTTGCTTCCTAGCATATTGCACTTTTTAATACAACATGATGATTTTACTTCTTTGCGGATTCTTTATCTCATAAAAGGATGTCCATTGATTGCAGACAGTTTAATTTGGTTATATTTTATACATGTGCCCAGGCAGGAATAATATGTTTTGATAATAAAAGGATAATTCATTTTAGGTGTAGAATGCTTCTGTCGTGTACAACATGTAAGTACCCTGTCACTGAGAGCACACTTTAAAGGTTCGGTTGACATATTTGCTACAGCAGATTATGCACACATGATTTTATTTTAAAAACGTTTACTTGTATTGATTAAAGAGTCTTACTGTATAAAAGGATCCCTGTGACTTGGCTGCTTACTGTGATGCCTCTAATTAACTGCCTTTTTAAATGTTTGACAATTTTTCTCATAACTTTGTTATGCTTTTCATTAAGTTGAAAAGGTACCATATCACTGAAACTTTTGATAGCTTAACTTGTCAGGTCTTTGAATGAAAACATGCTGTGTCAGAGAGGAAGCAGCAGGTGTTTCCTGTGGGAGCCAGTGAACTGGGCAGATGGATTTGTAGTGGTGTACAACATCTTTGACTGACTGTCCTTCCTCAACACCCAAAGCATCCTGCCACAGATCAAAGAGATCTGTAAAGGATGAGTGACCACAGTCTGCTGAGAATGAAGCCAAGAGAGGACTTAACTTTGATGCGATAATGAGTCGCATTCCTGAGATGAATGTTTGCCAGCATATCATGAGAATCAATGTTGTATGCTTGGAGTGAGAAACTGCATTCCAACATGCTGTACTAGAAAGAGCAAAACAATGTGAAAGCGAGCACAATGGGTTGAGGACATTTTGACTTTGGATTCATAAAACCTTAAAACACCTTCAATTATTGACAAGCTAAGTAACCCTGTATGTGTTATATCCACCTCTCATTTAATGCTTTCTGAGAAGGGATAACATATACATAAATAATTGCATTTTATTTAATGACTGTGGATGAACAGTGGCAGCTGGAGAAGATGAAACCAGTTGAAAATCATCAATAAGCACTCAATATGTGCAATAAAGCTTACATTATATCCACTGTCTGGTCAAAGTCTAGTAAACATTTTCTACATTTTAATTACAAAACACACATTTTACTGAAATAGAAGGACATCAATTACCTAACACCATGCATTTGTTTCTTGTAGGAAAAAAAGAAGTAGCAACATCCAGCGGACATACTGAAAAGTATAGTAGACCACATTTAAATATGGGTTTCTGGGGTGCAATTAAATGTAATGCCAAAATGAAGTTAAGGTTAGATTTAGTAACACCTAAAACATTTTTAGTAACAAAACTAGAGAATATTTTTCACAATATTATAACTCTGGGAGAAAAGCCACTCTCCAAAAAATAAATACTTGTTGCTAATAATACTTCTCTAGGCTGCTTTTAATCAAGGATCTTCATTTGCAATGGAATCTTATCTGTGTTATTCAAACTTTTACATTATGCAAATGGCCTGAGCATCTCTTCCACCAATGCTACATTTACACTCCCAAGTACTCAGTTTTGTCCACTAGATGGAGACTAAGGACCAAGGAAAAATCCAGGTGTTCACAGGGAAAAGCGAGTTCCTCATTCGCTTGTATGTAAGATAAAAATAAGGCTAATGTGGACGTTGTACATTTAGTGAAAACACTTTAGTGGTCACTTTTTATCGTAACGTCAGCCTACTTCACTTTGGTCGACGACACACACGAGCCACCCGGGGCGCTGCAAGCCTCTCAATAAGGAGAAACCCTGTCCATTCATTCATTTTAGTTTTGTCCCTCCTCGCTTCCACTAGACACTCTGCGAAAAAGTTTTAGCGTGAAGACGACCAACCTGCTGAATGGAAATGATCCTCTCTATGAGGTAAGACACTTCAGTGTAATCTTCTAACAGCAGCAGTCACACTGAAGGCTAGCAAACCTTTTTAAGGCAGTTTTAATACAACAGTACATGATATAAAGCAAAAGCCTGTTCAACTCCGTGTTTCGTTGCCATGACAACTTGTAGCTTACCTAAAAATGACTGCCAATCTTCAAACTTTCTTTTCATATTTCATTTTAATAATATGAGAAGCGTTAATGTTTTTTGTTGGAACATTACACGACACAACACGAGATGTTTGTCAGAATATCCCAGGCTTTATTACATGTTTGTATTTACGTTTTAACAGGCGTAGCTATCTCTAACATTATTAGTTTAGTGTTACATGAGGGATTGAAGGCTCGATTCACGGTTACTGTAAACATGTCATAATCATTAAAGAGCACTGTTAGGTTAACTAACTAACTAACTAACTAACCTGATTAGTTAATGTGACCATAGAAAGAGCAGTCGATGTCGATTGTGTTATTATAACTTATGTTCACAGGTTGAAGAAGTACTCAGGTCTTGTACTCGAGTAAACGTAGAAATACCAAAGTTTAGGAATACTCAGTTACAAGTGAAAGTCCTGCAATCAAAGTATTTCTCAAGTACAGAAGTATTAGCTTCGAAATATACTTAAAGTGCCAAAAGTAAACGTACTCAGTCAGCAGTTTGGCCCATTTTCTTATAATATGTATTATACGTTTTGGTTATGACTATAGATGCATTAATGTGTTTATCAAAGCTAGTAGAACCTTGAGCTAATTTTAATTACTTTGTATACTGCAGGGTAGCTTGTGGATTTACTCCAGGTGTAACTAAACTCTTATTTAAGTGTTGGTTATATTTCATATCATTAATCCTAATCTGCTGAGTAACCAAAGGTACTACGTAAATGTAGTGGAGCAAAAGTACAATATCTACCTCACAATTGTAGTGCAGAAGAATCACAAAGTAGCCTAACATGGAAATAGTATACTCAAGTAAAGTACAAGTACCTCAGAATTGTACTTAGATACAGTACTTCAGTAAATCTGCTGTATAAATCACAACCGTTTAGGTTGTCCTGCATATGTTGTTCTAAATGGTTAAATCATATTTTAGTAACTGTTATCAGCATGACGGTTGGACATTGAATGATTTATAACTAAAGGTGTAAACATCTGTGTGTGGTGATATGAATGTGCTGAGTTCTCTCCAGGGTTGTCATTGAAATGAATTGGATTTGTTCTTGTTTTTGCTATGGCCTACATTTTTCTAGATGTCTGCCTTCCTAGCTTCCCAAGGCTGAGCCCAGCAAGGGTAGAGATTAGCCTTAACCAGGATTAAACCAATGAGAACATTTGAATGTGTTGGCCCTTATCTCCCAGCAACATGTGTGCTCAGAGCAAATGGCAGAATTTGATCTTTTCCTTCTTTTTGGCAAAGCATGTTTTCTTGCCAATAGACACTTATCAAACATGCCCATTGGAGACAGGAGGAATTATTGGAGCTGCCTTTAAATGATTTGTTTGTAGGGACACTACATGCATTACTTGTTTGCTGAGTGTAGGAATAGCAACAGTTTGGATGTTTTCAAGTGGCTTAGGTCAATGTATTACCTACTGTAGATTGCAGTTGGCAGGCCCCCATTCGGAGAGGAAGACAGTAAAGTAAGGAAGTAAAGGAATGTACTGCAGTGAACATCATTTTAAGTGTATGTTATATTTTGCATATTTCCCTGACTATATTTTGTTGAAGACAGCTCTTTCTGACAGGAAACGGAAGCCGTTATATCCATCTATGCCCTCATCAATGACAAAAACATAAATATAACCTTGCAGAACGCAGAGTTGGTGATTATTTTATTGTATACATCCTTTATTTAGCTTTAGGTCTTAATGAGATACAATAGTTATTCTCGCTTCTTTACTTCCAGACTGCGCCCACTGCAATCTACTGTAGGTCATATTCTGACTATGGATAAGAACCTTATACAATCACCCTTCAAACCATCCCATGATCCCTTTAAAGTCCCTCCTTGTGTCCTTCCTGTAGTCCATCAGTGTTCTGGTATGTTTTAACAGCTCTTTAGTGAGTCTATTGTATGCTTTAATGACTTAATTTTGATGTGTTCTCTTGGTATATTACATTTAGACCACAAGCTTTGATAATCTCTCTGCATAACATTAGGAGTCACCTCATAACTTAGTGGGCTCTATATTTGCATTCTAAACATGCAATTTCTTGCCTCATCAGGTAATGTAATTCCACGCTTCATTAGGACTGTGAAGTTTATCATTTGTCATCAAAGCCAAGCTGTCAATAAATAATTAAGTTTCACATGAGGAAAATGTAATATTTGGGCTCAAGCAAAACGGATGGCAGTGTACATTTTAATTGCAGTAAGTAAGATTCTGTTTTTGTGAGATTTTCAGGCTTTATTTTAGCGGCTGCTTGTTACAGCTTGAGGCACCATCATTAAAGACTCTCCTAAACCTAATTTATTCTGCTATTTATTCAAAAAAAAGAAAAGAAAGGCCATGTAGAATGAACTAAAGTGTGCAATATGTTGACGTTATAGTTGAGATTGAAAAATCGTTACCATTTGCACACTGTAGTCTCAGCAACATATGCCAGCTCTATCTAGGATACTAGATCTATATATATGATATATCTAATACTGACAAAGGCCTCTTAGAATTGGCATTAATGCTGGAAATAGTGATTATTTCTATCATCGATAAATCAGATTTTAACAGTTAAGTCTATAAAAGGTCAGAAAAAGGGATTAATGGTTGTTTTTACAAAATTGTCAGAATTGTGTTGGTCCCGTTCAAAAGTGTTATCGTGTGACATGTAAAGAACACTGCAGTCTTATAGGGACTAGTAGTCTAACATGAAGTGTGGGATAAATGAGTAAACATATATTACCTGAAAGACAAGCAGTTTTAAAGGTTACACACGATCAGAGTCATCCTTTGTGTGTCCGTGCTCTCTTTGTTCCAAAGTGACATTGATTCTGTGTGCTAAGTTCCTAGACTGTCTCCCACTCACTCCCGGTCATTAGGCACACCACCTATATTTGTTCACTCAGTAGTGTAAATAAACAAATTGCTGTCTGACAGAATGATGGAGAGATAAGGCAAGTATGGGCTTGACTTGTGATGAACCGTCGGCTCTAATTACTTCCTGCTGAAACTGGAGATGAGACTCAATGTAAAGGTGGACCGCAGCCCGTGTTTCTTTAGAGTCAGGGTGTATACTGATGTTTGCTCATCTTTCAGCGTGTGACTGAACTAAGAATATTATGGTTTGACATTGTTGATTTGTCCTATTATGTACTCATTGCGTAGCCTAATCCTTTTTCCTGGGTCAATCTGCCATGTAAGTAGAGATGGAAAAATGTGATTCAAGCACATCATTTGTTGTGTTTGAGCTAATCAAGTCAGCTGAAAGGAGATTAAGAAGACTTGATTTAAGGAGGTTCTGGAATTTCACTTTATCACTTTGGAAGCAGATACCTGGACTGAGTATTAAGGCCTAATGGGGGACTTGTGACAGGTGGCACCGAGCCTTGCCCACACTTGAGGTTTTATAGCAATGCATTAATTCTTTGGTGCTTTTAGATTCTGATCATGTATTGGTTAATTTCCATCCTCTAGCACTGTAAGTTCTTAGTTTAGGTTTCTGATTGGTTTCAACCTTCAGTGTAAAGATTTTAAGTTATTAAGTTAAAAAACAGACCCAAGTGTTTAATGGATATAACCTGTAGTTTGAGTTGTAGAGGTTCAGTAGAAACACAGGTCTAGAAATTGCAGAAAGATAACCCAAGGCTTAAGCAATTCAAAACCTTTGTCTGTTAGTGACCCTTTTAAAGGTCAGACTTCTCACCCTGACCTGACCCTGATATCCAATTTCCTTTGCATCTCGGAACCAGGGGCTAAATAGCAGACACCTTTGTCTTGGAGACACCTGACGTGCACAGGACCCTCCTCTTTCAGTCACTTCCAGTCCCCAGTGATACACTCATCACATGCCTCTGTCTTCCACAAATGAGCTGTGATTGAGGTGATTGGAGTTTCCAGAGGCTGTCACATTCGTTTTGATTGGGAAATAGACAGAAGATAATGGGAGAGACAGGCCTGTTATGAGAGCCCTGTCAGGGCTAAAATAATGCATCAGAGTGAAGAGGTTAAAGACACCGCTTCCTTGTTAATAATTAATTGCTGTGCATGTGGTGGATCCACTTCATCGCTCCCAGTCATCACTTGATAATTGCTTTACATTTAATTTGGCTTTAGAGACTGTTTTTCAAACTGCGTAAATTGTGTTTAAAGTTAATATGGACTCAGACTGAGACAGAAGTTTGGACATAAACCGGTAATTTAAAAAAAATACAAGTTAGAGTACAGGAAATAAAGAAGATTCAATGATCCTGCACTCTAGTTCTTAAAGTTTATACCTCTGGAACTAACTTTAGGAGCTAATTAAAACAAATATTCTCTTCAATGTGCTGTAATTAAAACTAGGCTATGTTGTTAATGTCTTAATGCTATTTCAAAACCAGCAGCAATGATTGCTTGTACTGGAGAGAACATGAGTTTTTTTTCCTGTAATGGCTAAAATTATATTTTGGGGTATGGACAGAAACATGTGATTTTGGTATACTGTTTATCTGCAAACATTTTATTCTCCCAGTTGGCACTGAAAAAATTGGGCCTAGTAAGAAAATCTCTGGGTTTTGTCTCATGTTCATTGCAATTGTAATATTTTGGGATTCGGCTCAGTCTTTGAAAAGTTAGAGTGGTGATACTTTAAAGCCAGCTAGTGATTAACCAAAAGCTCTTATGATTAGGAATGATGACGGTAAATTGGGTTGTAAAAAAAGAAAAGAACGTGTTGGTCTCCAATAAATACTAGATTTTCCCTCTCCATGATATTTCTATTGAAATGAATAATAGAGTTGTCCAAGAGTAGCAGTTATCATTTGAAACATGACTTTTCTTTATTGACAACCTATCATCGTATGGCTCGACGAGACATTCCAGATTGATAATGACTGCCCTCTCCTTTATCTCCAGATGACACGAGCCTATGTTGGTGGATAAGGCATGAACATGGTGTCCCCCTGGACCAGCAGGGACACACTGGAGAGGAATGTGCCTTTAATACGCCTGGAGGACGACGCTGACCTCAGGGTATGGATACTGCAGTCCAGTGTTGGGCCACCCCTGAAGATCTCACTCACTGGTGACCTCTAGAATAAACTTATTTGCACCAGAAGAGGATCAAACTTCAGTTGCTGCTGAACAAACCCCTTCATTGGGGAATTTGACTATTCTCTTTACCAAATCCAAAGCAGCCAGTGCTCAGCCTTGCATGCACACAGATAATGATCAACTTAATTAGACCTGAGATTGAACGAACTGCAGCAGCAACTTAATCATTTGTAACTTGATTAGAAATACTATATTCTGCACCTCCAGAGAACTGAAAATGTTCCCTTCTTTCAGAGAGCTTGAATTTAGGATATACTTCGGAATCTAGGTCTTGAGTTAGACATCATGTTTTTGTAATCCAAAACAGTGAAACAGGAAGCAGGAGTTTACTAACTATTTACACAATATGTTCTTATCTTCATAGGAAATTTATGAATTTGGAAAGAAATTGGGTCAAGGTAGCTTCGGAGTTGTCTATGAAGCCACACACATTGAGACACAGACAAAATGGGCTATTAAAGAGGTTTGCAGACCAGCGGTAAGTGCCTGTTTTTTTGTTTGTTGGTGAAAGTTAAATGTTAAGATAAGCAAATGGCTCAGCTGTAATTCCACTTTCTATGACTTCAGGCAGGAAGCTCAACAGCCAAGATGCTGGGGCACGAAATAAACATTCTTAAACAAGTCAATCATCTGCACATAATACATCTACAGGAAGTCTACCACACAGCTAAGGTGAGCATTGCCAACCTTTAAGTAACACACTTTAAGCCAGATTATCTTCCATTACTGTCTAAATAAATATAAATGATGTGCTTTTTACTGGTCATTTACTGGCATTGCCTATGCTTGTTTCTAGATGACTTATTTTGTGACTGAGCTGTGCGTTGGAGGTGACCTGAAGCAGCTGTTGCAGCGGAAAAAGTTCCTTACAGAGGACGAGACGAGGCATATCATCTGTAGCTTAGCTGACGCCGTCGTCTACCTTCACAGAAGAGGTAATGTCATTCTACACATTGACATTTTGATAGTGTTGCAAATCATCTTAACGCTAGCGGACAATCTCCTTTTTGATGAACTCGTTTTATTAGTCCTCGCCATGCTGCTCACTAAACCCTGAAAACACTGATGAATCACTAGCCTGAAACTTATAACTATAGAAGTTAAACAATGCAATTGATCTTGTTGTTCTTCTTATACCCAAGTGTGGAACAAGCTGTATTGAATTTATTTTAGACTTGGCTGTTTTATATTTTAAAAATAAGAAAACAGCTTGGTTCATGCAGCAGTTCAGTCCATATCGTCACTGGTCCAGTTCCCCCCCCCAAGAAATAATGATAATATATATAACATATTATATATGTGTATACATTGGCATCATCTATGTATAGGTCCTGTTTACGCTTATGTGTATTTCAACTGTAACGGTAGAACAACAGTCAAAACTGAATTTCCCCTAGAAGATAACTTGCCATTATTGCTTTTACTCATTATAGATAAGTGGCGTATTTTGATAAAAGACTCATGATAAACAACTTTTAGTAGATTTCTTTATTTTTAATTAATGCGGCATGTTTTTTTTTTTTAAAGAAATGTAGTTTTTGCTTTCAATGGCCAGATCTTTGGTTAGAGGAAAACAAGGACACTGCCCCGGGTGAGACATCATTACATGCGGTTAATGACTAATTTACAATAAGCTAGGGAGAAATACTGATTAATCGGTGTGTTATAACATGGAAAGTCCCTCTGTGCTGGTTTCCCTCACCTCTATAGAAACATGACATTAACGAGACAGCACTGGCATTAAATTGGAAAGACAGAACCTTTTTCAAATGACCAATTATAAAGCTTAAATTGTTTTTCTCTGATGATCAATTTTCTCGGCTGCTGTTCGTCAAATTCATTATTAGTCGTTAGAGCTATACTAAAGCTCAACTGTGCTTTGAGCTCTTACGCTAACATATCCTGGTAACAACAAGGTGCATTTTGAATGTACATGTTACTACCAACACTGCACATCCAACTGCTTTTGATTTATTTCAGTGATGATTACTGAAATAGACTGCACCAAACATGATGTTATATTTGGTAATATAATAACCCAATATTTTATTAAAGAAACAAATGAAATGCAGAATTGTAATGGTATTTTTAACTGTGTAATTGGAGTTTACAGTATGAAAATGTTTACCAAATGAAGACATTAGTTAAATTGAAATGAGAGTTCATCATTGAAAAAAAAACTATTTTAAATGGATAAAGGAAAAAATAGCATTTTCAGGTGTTTGTTTTGTGCACACCAGTTGGTCCAACGTACATTTCACACACCATCACCATTGTTGCATTTTATAATTGCTTGCTTCAAACAGTGCCGTAAAAAAGAGTGCTCAGGGCAAATTGTATTTTTCCTCCTGCCTCCCTCACTCCCACAAGTTTAGTTAACGAGGCCTTTTGGCTTGCTATACTGTAAGCAGGGTAAACAGATCAAAGTGTGAGTGTGTGCAAAATATATATATTTTCTCTGGTGAATGACATTAGCAAATCACAGACTTTATTTACCCCAGAGCTATGGTTGTGATCTAAGGCTTAATCTGGAATCATTTTGGGTTTAAATGGAGAAAACCTGCAACAGTGCAGATACTTCTCAGATGTTTCATCTCTAAGAATATGGTAGAACCTTTCAAACCCATGATGTCTTTGTGAAGTTGTCCTCCTCTCATCTAACAGACATAGTGCACCGAGACTTGAAACTTGAGAACATTCTTGTGAAGAATTATCTTGATGAGGATGATGACGGCAGGATTAATATCAAGGTAAGATGGTGACACAGACTTTCCAATACACCTTTTTATCCATTCTCTGTTGGGGAGTACAGGCCTCACCTATCTCCTTTATATTTAGTTAGGGATTGAAATACTACCTCATTATGACAGACTCCCTCTGGTGTTTCAGTATATTATACCTTTACAAAGAGAGACTCTGAAACTCTAAACAAATGACCAGCTGAGCACAGCATGTTGTGTGCACTGACAATGAGCCAGCAAAAGCAGATTCCTGGTGTGCGAGCAAAAGAAAGCTAGACCACAGTATAAATGTTCCTTTCTTTCTGTTTTCTCTCTTTGTCTCACAGGTTGTAAGAAAGTGTTGCAAAGCACAAGTTACTTTTATTTCACAAGAGTTCATCTCACCTTCTTGATTTGCTTTTGTCATAATGTGGCTTTTTTCAAACTGTGGACCTGTGCAGCTACTGTACGTTGCTAATAATGTAGATTGTCACGGATGTTGGAACCTTATTTTCCCGCTAAAGCGCCTTTCACAAAGGATTTAAAGACATAATATCTAACATTTGCACATTAAAACGTCTATATGTAGGTTATGTATTTGTTGGAATATATATTTAGTTGTACTACATTTTACCAAATATTTCCATCAAATTCCAAAACCAAGAGAAACTGTAATTCCAAACAAGGTACGGTCCGTCTCATATGCACTTTGCACGTGTCTTAGGGTTGTGGTTGTAAACCAGAATGGGTCATTAGTTACATTTAAAATTGTAACCCAGATTTTTACAATAGCTCATTCTGCCCCTGGTGTAATCCTTCTGTACGTCTGGATAGAATGTTATCAGAGAAACCAGCTGAGCAAATATTAGTGGCCACTTGGCTGACAACTGCCTCAGATGTATGTTCTCTGCTGGACTGTGTCACAGAAACACAGATTCTTAATGTGACACCTGACTCGGATAACTGGCTCCCGGTATAAGCTCCTAAACCATGAACAAAGAAGTAATCATAACCGGGACAAACTGACAATGACCACAATGATGATGATGAAGACAGCAACCCCCGATCATCTCACACTAATAGACAACGCTAGTAAATGTATGTTTTGGTTCGAGACCCCAGATAGCAGAACACAACAGTTTGTTTGTTTGAGTTTTGTCAGCACATTTAAATCATGTTTATCTGCATTACCTTTTTCTTAAGTGTTTTTTTCTACCTAGGTGACAGACTTTGGATTAGCAGTGAAGACAGGAGGCGTAGGGATTGAGAACATAATTAGGGAGGCCTGTGGGACTCTCGTCTATATGGGTACGACACCTTACACTCCTACATTCTTGCTCTTCTTCTCCTCCTCCACTTTTATTGGTGCGTTGCTAACTTTTAAGGCTCATTACTGCTACCTGCTGTGGATATGCATTACAGCCAAGTAAGTGTGCTGATAAACATGATAAAAACAAATATAGAATGTGTTTATTAAAATGTTGCTCAGCAGCACTGATAGTGGTCAAAAACTAGTTTTAACTAGTAGTTTAAAGCTCTGAAATGTCCATGTCTCATTTAAAGAAAAGCCTTTTCTGTTCTTGTGTGAATCTCAGCACCTGAAGTGATGAGCGGCCGAGGTTACAGCCAGTGGTGTGATGTGTGGAGCATAGGAGTCGTTATGTATATGTTGTAAGTAGACGCACACATACTTTATATAGACGTACATATACACATACATACAGTTGCAAGAAAAAGTACGTGAACCCTTTGGAATTACCTGGATTTCTGCATAAGTTGGTCATAAAATGGAGGAAGCCACGTCTGTCCAGAAAAAACATTGCTGCACGTTTGAAGTTTGCAAAAGAGCACCTGGATGTTCCACAGCACTACTGGCAAAATATTCTGTGGACAGATGAAACCAAAGTTGAGTTGTTTGGAAGGAACACACAACGCTATGTGTGGAGAAAAAAAGGCACAGCACACCAACATCAAAACCTCATCCCAACTGTGAAGTATGGTGGAGGGAGCATCATGGTTTGGGGCTGCTTTGCTGCCTCAGGGCCTGGACAGATTGCCATCATCGACGGAAAAATGAATTCTCAAGTTTATCAAGACATTTTGCTGGAGAACTTAAGGCCATCTGTCCACCAATTGAAGCTCAACAGAAGATGGGTGATGCAACAGGACAACGACCCAAAGCACAGAAGTAAATCAACAACAGAATGGCTTCAACAGAAGAAAATACGCCTTCTGGAGTGGCCCAGTCAGAGTCCTGACCTCAACCCAATTGAGATGCTGTGGCATGACCTCAAGAGAGCGATTCACACCAGACATCCCAAGAATATTGCTGAACTGAAACAGTTTTGTAAAGAGGAATGGTCCAAAATTCCTCCTGACCGTTGTGCAGGTCTGATATGCAACTATAGGAAACGTTTGGTTGAGGTTATTGCTACCAAAGGAGGGTCAACCAGTTATTAAATCCAAGGGTTCACATACTTTTTCCACCCTGCACTGTGAATGTTTACATGGTGTGTTCAATAAAAACATAAAAACATATAATTGTTTGTGTGGTTTTAGCTTAAGCAGACTGTGTTTGTCTATTGTTGTGACTTAGATGAAGATCAGAACACATTTTATGACCAATTTATGCAGAAATCCAGGTAGTTCCAAAGGGTTCACATACTTTTTCTTGCAACTGTATATACTGTGAATACATGTGTCTGAGCTGTGTGTCCTCGTAGGCTGTGTGGGGAGCCCCCGTTTGTATGTAAGACGAAGTCCAAACTTCTTAAGGAGATCATGAACAAAGAAGCCAAATTTACTCAACCCATCTGGGCCACAGTCAGTGATGCAGGTGATTATTCATAAACTGTAAATGTAATCCTGCTAAAAATGGGAAATGATTTCATTTGCAAGCAGCACAGGATGTTGCATGCAGGTTTACAAACCCAACAGTTGTCCTGTGTCTCACCCAACAGCAAAAAATCTTTTGACCTGCCTTCTGAAGGCGGACCCTGCTTACCGCATGTCTGCTAATCAGCTGCTGGAAAACCCCTGGATCACAGTAAGGAAATAACAGTTTCATCTGCGTATGTAAACTCGACAAAGTGAGCCACATGAGGAGCTCTAATGGGTGGCTTTTCCAACAGGGAGACACTAATGTGCCTGCTATGCCGTCAAACGTGCTGGAGATGATGCGCAACCACCTGGAACAGAAAGAGAGTGAGATCATTAAGAAGAGTTTATTTAATTCAAGTAACTTCATCCAGATCACAAGTTGATAAATTATATAAACAAAATTGTGCAAGGTGTACTGGTATACACTGTAACAGTAACAAATAACGTTCAGGCAGAGCACTTTGTAGTAAACTATTATGATTATTAACATAATTATTGTTCTCACCAAGATTATGTGTGTAGTGCCCAGAATCATTTGAGATGCCAACGTTACCAAATAGAGTCAAAATAGTCAAATCTATAGATTGACAAGTTGTGGTATGTAAATATGAAGCATTTTCTTATTAGCTAGGTGGGTTGACTTCTGTTTAATATCGTCCCCAAAAGGAGCACAGACTCTGGGGGACTTGTCCCTGTCCTCCTCTGAAGGCACACTGGACTCCCCGGTCCTCCCGGTGGATTCAACAGTTACAGACAACGGGAGTCACACTGAGACAGACAGCTGCTCGTGCCCCCCTTCCAACTCCACCCAGGTACGGTTTATCTGTTTAGCACGGCTCTGCATTTTGAACTCACATGCCTAAGCGTGTTTCTTATCCAGGACTCTTGAAAGGCTCCCAGTTAAGTTTATTTCAAGTATCTGCTTTTCTCTTTAAGTACCCTTATTCTTAAGTACTCCTGCTTACACATCATTTACGTCATGTGGAAATTATCTTGTTTTTAACACATTTACATAAAGTAGATCATTCTGCACTTAAAGCAAATAGTGTATTAGAAAAGAAAATAAGAATTTGGCCATAACTCTTTTTATAATGTTTTTGGTACTCTAAAGTACCAGATTCACACAAGCTTCACATGGGTTTACATTGCAGGAATATAAATACACACAGTTCTCATTCATAACACTCCGTTCGATGTCTCACTATGGGATGCGCCTCATCGCGGAGCAAACAGAAGCATCAATCTCATTACGCCAATCCTGATTGGCTGGTGATCTTGACGTCAGCGTCAGGGAATCCACCCACCCTATAAGTAGCTTGCGCCACGTCGCAGCGTCATTCAAACACCTCTTCTCGCTTCAGAGCACATCTCGATAGATCGGTAGCCGGGCTAGCTTAACAGTCCACAGACTGAACCCAAAGCTAACTTTCGGTCGACGGGCGCTTGCCGGCTACTTTTCTGCCTCGCAACCTCTTTTTCGCTGCCAACCCATCTTAAATAAGAGTTCTTATAATTGACCACACAATTATGGGAAAATATGAAGGGGAGGAGGACCACACTCTCTCTTTCTTTTTGCAGGTGCGATTGGCACCCACAGCCATCACTCCCTTATTCCGTCGATCGTTGTCCCACACAAGATCGAACTTTTTAGTTTTGGAATGGAAATTAAGGCTCTCTTTGCCGCTCCATCTA